TCAAAGAAATAGCAAAGTTGTACAATTTATAGCATTGCACAATCTCTGATATTTCTTTGAAAAGTTTCTGTAAATATTTTATTTTATATATGTATATATTAGTTTCTGTATATATTTATTCTATAGAATATCAAAGTATTATGTTCGATGCTTAGGAAAAACTGGAAGAATTTTTCAATTTCCGATTTCGTCTGAAGGCTCTTTTCATTCATAGTAATACCGAGGAATTACTAGCAATGACTGATTTCCGGCTTAGACGGTAACATATATATATAAAACGTGTGTAGAATGTATCACATATTGTATTATTGTATATACAGTGTTCCAAGTCGACGCTTATCAAAATGTTTTATAGCCTTTCGCGAAGGTAAAAGAAAAAGTGATGAGAAAAGAGATAGATAGATAAATAGATAGATAAATCAATCGAGAAAGTGAACAAGCTAGACGTTTGAACGAAATTGTACACATACATAACTATATATATATATATATATATATATATACTATTACGTTACAATGAGAATGAGTTAATACCATTACACATAAGTGTAAAGCATAGGCTTGATGTCTCTTGATGAGACGGAGATTCACGTTGGAAAATCCTTACAGCTTAACAAGAAGAAGCCACGACGGAAGTTGAGATCCCTCGGGCTTGAATTCTAAACCATTCCCTCTTCTAGTAACATTCCTCTAGGGTACGCGTCTAGATACTGTTTTCCCTTCATCTACGATGCGTCTCCACGTCTATCGGCTTAATCCATTCGTGTTAGTCCACGTGCTCGCGTCAAAACTTCAACCAAACTCTCGTCCGACATATTTCCCGTTCGTACCACTAGAGTTTTTCTTACGATTAAGTCTTGTTAGATACTCATACCCTTCGGCTAAAATAACGTTTTACAAATTAGATACGGAGATTGTAATATTACGTTTGATCTCAAATTTCGTTAATTTCTATCATCATATATCTTTTCTAACTTTTTTATTTTATTTGTCTTACGAAATTTCTATCAATAATTATTTCAATTCACGATATATTATTGATATTAGAATATAGATTCGAATCGATAATTAGGTGAAAGCTTTTTCTTAATAAATAAACTGTACTGAGAGACTTATTAAATCGGACACAAATTAAACACACACGCGTAATACTTTCATTTAATTTGAAATTTTTTCTACAACCTATCCTATTATTCTAATTTTTTATCCTTATTTGTTTTACGAAATTTTAATCGATACTCAAAATATTTTAACACTTAGAATATTTTTCTTATTATTAAATTTCATTTCTCTTTATTATATTAATACTATTCAACTTTTAATAAAATACAAAATAAGATATAACTTAATAAGATATAACTTTTCTAACAGCTTGACATATTACAAATATATTTAATAAGATACGATATAAGAACGAATTATTTCTCATTTTCTCTCTCTCTCTCTCTTTTTCTTTCATTTTCTTTTTCTTTTTACGTCGATCGAAAGTGGAAAGAAGAATCGGACCGAACAAAAATATCGCCGTCGAATAGTGGAAAGAGGGAAGGTGATGCGAGAGTGAGCTGTCGCGACTAAAATTAGTCCCAAGCGTTCGTTTAAGAGTCTCTTCTTCGTCTCTTGGCTACCGAGAAAGCAAGCAAGCAAGCAAGCAAGCAAGCAAGCAAGCAAGAAAGCAAGCAAGCAAGAAAGCAAGCAAGTAAGCAAGATAGCAAGCTAGCAAAGTAAGCGTCGCCTTGTCTAGCCCCAGTTCGCGTTTTACGACGTCGTGCCAACGTAACCCGATTTTAAAAGATCAAATTGCATACTTAATTTTTTCCTTTCCGTTGTCTCAAGAAGAAGAAGAAGAAGAAGCAGCAAAAGAAAAAAAAAAAAAAGAAGAAGAATAAGAAGAAGTAGGCATGCATACTACCCCATCTCGATTCTATTCAACCAAAGTTACTATCATTTCTTCTTATATACTACACGATCATTCCGTGTTCTAAATGTTTCTTAGAAAATGGACGGAAGGAGAAAAAAAAATGCTTAGACGAAAAACCTTGAAAGTAAAGGAAAAGAAAAGCGAAACGTAAGGACAATATGGGGGACCTTAAGAAAGACGGAAGGAATAGAACTCAAAAAAGAAAGAAAGAAATAAAGAAAGAAAGAAAGAAAGAGAGAGAGAAAGAGGAAACGAAAAGGAGACACCCATTCAGGCAGCAGAAGCATTAACTCGGCAAGGCAGGCAGCCATCCAAAAGAAGACCATTAACTACATCTACTGGATGGAAGAAAAACAGAAGGGCCTCTCTTACTGTCTCGCCCTTTCTCTCTCTCTCTCTCTCTCTGTTACTCTTTCTTACTCGTATACACGTAACCTAGCTTTCTCTTACTCCCTTTATCCACGACATGCTGTTTCCATTACAAGACTAATAGTTCTTCTCGACATTCGCAACGTTAGTCCATGAGCTAGTAGTTTGGAACCTTAGTATCTGCTTTCAAGACGATCATCCATCGACTTTCCACGCGTCGCGTCCTACTCGCCACAAATTTGGGATCACCCTTTTGGTGAGAAGAGAAATCTTCGCTTCTACTTCGTTTCTTCTTTCGAAGTTTCTTTCTTTTCCTCCTTCTCTCTCTCTCTCTCTCTCTCGCTCTCTTATTCTTTGTCGAATTACTTCGAGTAATATCGTATATCGTTCGTAATCACTACCGTTGATTTATGACGTTGAACGTACGTTCTATTCTTTACTCTCGCGATAGTTACTCGTATACTTTTTTCTTTTTCAAAACGATTTATCTTTTTTTTTTTTTTTTTTTTTTTTAATTGATATTCCATATAGGACGCTTAAACTCGTGTCGAATGGTAGCGTGGAAGGGGGTTAACGTACAATACAAAGTTTTACCTGTATACGATACAACTTAATGTTAAAAAAAGATGCATTTGTATAAATTAATAAAAATCTAAAAGAAAACAGTTGTATTCGTTTAAAAAATCTGGACGAGAAGGGGAAAGGTTGAAATTTCTTTATAATAAACTAAAAAATAAAAAAAAGAATAGGAACAAATAAAAATGTGAAAAGAAAAGAACGAACGTGAATTGGTAACTTATAGGTGTGGGAAGAAAAACAAAAGAAACGAAGAATAATAATAAAAGTTAGGATATAAAAAAAAGTAAAAGGAAAATTCTAGTGTTTAAAGTAACGTTCCGTAACGAAGGATCTATCTCTCTCTCTCTCTCTCTCTCTCTCTCTCTCTCTCTCTGTTTCTCTCTTTTTCTCTCGTCTGTCTCTTTCGAGTTCTCGTTTCGTCGTTTCATCGCGACTTCATTTAAAGCCCTGCTGCCAGGAGGCGAAAAAAGAGAAGCAAAGAGTGTTGTCTGCCGAGAGAAAGAGAGAAGAACCGAGAAAGCAAATTAAGCGTAATGCCCGGGCAGGCAAGCAAGCAAGCAAGCAAAGGCGCCAACCAGCGTCGGGACGCCTAACAGCATCCCACGTTTTCTCTATGGTGATATCAAAATGTCCGTTTTCCATAAGAGAAATAGTACAATCAGAAGACAGACAGACACAAATAGATAAACAAATGATAGATAGAGAATAATATAAAGAAATAGAAAAGAAATAGAAATAAACCTAGTAATAATAGTAGTAATAGTAGTAGTAGTAGTAACGTGGTAGAGAAAAAATAAAATTTACGAAAGAAGAAAGGGGAAACATAACGTAACGAGGAAAAAAAAAAAATAATATAATTTCGCTTTTTCCTTTCTTGCTTGCATTTTTTACTTGACGTTTTATTTTTTACTCGTAGGGAGTAATGCTCGGGAGAGAGTCTGGGGAAGTCCCTGTCGCAGTACTCGCATACGAATATGTTTTTTTTTGGTTTTTTTATTTTTTGTCAACGCTTACTCCAATCTTGTTAAGTGGACGATTAAAGGATAGACAAAAGAAAACAATGGAGGGAACAACAAAAAAATATATAAAGAAGTTTCAACGTAGGATTCGTTCATTTTATTCGGATACGTATGTTAAACGTTTTTAAGATCATTTCATTAAGATTTTTCAATTATTTCGAAGATTTGTTTTGAATAACAATTAAAACGTAAGGTAATACCATAACTTATTTAACCGTATGTGCTTATATAGAAGAAATACAATTTTCCAATTTGATATAAGGTTGATTTTAAGTTTAAATTATTTCATACAATTTTGTGAGAATACGTTTGTGTAAAAGTTGAACTGAATGTGATGGTTGTAAGTATTAAGACACTATTAATGTTCATTCCGAATGGGAAATAGAGTAAATCTGAGTTAATCCGTTCTTCGGATCCCCTTCGAGTTCGCTATGATATGATTTATTATTCTCTACGAAGAACGTATAAAGAATAATCGAATTTCCTCTGTAGCATATTTCATTGATATCTCGTTGAGGATAACGTCATTGTGATCGATCCTACGAAATACTCGAAAAGTTTCTACACGTCTATAATACCTAGGTACATACGTACGTACGTATAGTATGTATATATGTATGTATGTATGTATGTATATAAGTATGTATATAGTTATGTACATGAACAAGGCCACACTTCGATACTAATCACCACAGCTGCGTTCCGCTAAACGCGTTTCGCCTTGAATTATCGCAACCGCGGAGCATTAACTCGGCAGTCGCGTTTAATCCGCGAACCGGTGCACTTCTAGAATAAAAGAAAGATATCTCTGAGCAGTTTAATGGATCGACGCTTAATTCCACGTTACACGTAGTAAACGAATTTTGCTGACTTTCCTTGTTTCATCTTTTTTTCTTTTTACCTTCCCTATTTTCCCTTAATTTTTCCTCCTGTTTTTTCGTTCGTATTTATATATATATATATATATATGTGCCTATATAATACTTGTACATATGTACAAATATCTACGTCTATGGAAAAGTTTGTTCGCATTTATACGAAAGCTCTAGCGTAGTTAACTATAAACGGTGTGTCGAATATCATTTAAACTTACCGTCACCCATTTCTAAAGCATAGAGTAGAAACTTTCATAAACAAGATGGAAGTTAAATGGAATTATTGATTTCTATTCGATCCAACTAGAAAGTTTCGCGTAATGCGTAAGTATACTTTAGATGATCGTGTTATTTCTAAACCGTTGACGCGATCGAATTAAATAAACCTTTTCTCTCTTTAATTTGTTTTCTTTCAGAGAGAGATCAATACATGCGTCGTGCATTTATACACCACAAATATAAATACATACATATATGATATATTTATATATACACGTGCTTTTAGATTTATAACTCGAAATACAAATTTGATTTCTTTGAAGTCAATTTCAGAAAACTCAGTTCATTAAACTCTTTTGTTATTATCGTCGTCTGGTTATAATATATAGATTAATATTTCCATTAACCCAAAACGAAAGCCAGCCAAGGCCGACGTTCTCGAAATTACGCGGTTTCCCATAAGGAAGTAGACCCCCATAATAACATAGCAAACCTTCGAATTCCCTAAGCCATGGGTAAAGGTTACGCAATTTCCTTGTTGCAAGAAGGACCAAACGTTGGACGGTTAAACCAATTTACTACCCTTAACTTCATCCGAAACATATAACGGACTTCTCTTCTCTAACCGAAAGTCTATCCCTTGTTACCACCTTGTTTCGTGGTATGATCGAGAAATTCTAAGGGACGTGAATAAATATAACCCTCTTTGGAAAGTAAAATGGGAAAAGGAAAAAAAAAAAAAGAAAATGATCTCGTAGAGTTCTCTTTCTCTCTTCTTCATCCTCTTTAAGTAATTTCACATGCTCGCATTTACGAGTCGCGAGAAGTGGATGAAAAGAATAAAAAGAAGATCTGTGTGAGAGTATATGTGTGTGTGTGTGTGTGTGTATGGTACGAGAAAGCATAAGAAGAAGAAGAAGCAGACGAAAGCGACAAGGAAAGGAAGAAGAGAGGTTAGTGGAGGGTTGAAGAAGCAGAGAGTTTCTAATTTGGTGCCTTGGCAAAAATCGACACACTACGTCTAGACTTTCAGCTTAATAGGCACTTATATAGGGTGTATCTCGATCTTTAGAATTTTTTAAATATATTTTATGTAATATATATGTATATGATGATCGAATTCTGTAATTTGTAAGACAACAAAATATGGAAATAAAATTTACATCATTCACAGAATAAAAGAAAGAAAATATTTTGTTTTCACTATCTAATTTTGGCTAAAGACTTATTCTATATTAAAATATGTATTTTGTTTTAACAAGCATTTAAATGAAGTGTCGATAAGTTTAATATGTTACATATATTTTTTAATAATTCCCCTTTTCTCTCATCTATGAAAATATAATAATATAATTAAAAAAAGATATCTTTTTTTCCTACTCGTGATGATAAAAGTTGTCAGGCTGGTATACGTTCTTTTAACTTTTATATGCATCACTAAAAGACTCTATGCTATATAAATCAATGTCTGTCAAATACGATGACAGACAATCTAATACGAAGAAGAACACGATGCACAAAGTACGTATGAACGATTCGATGAGCACTACTTTTTCGTTTATGTTATTGTTTTGATTTGTTTCTTTCCTTTTTTTTACTCTATCATAGTATCGAGTAACTTTTTAATAATTATCTTTGATAATAAAGGTAGAACATTTCCAACAGGATTGTTCATTTCGTTCTCGGGGAGAATTTTTATTACAGTAGATTTTACGTTATATGAATTAATTAAATGACAAAAGTTTTCGTATGAGAAAATTTATCGTATAATAAAACAACGAACGTTTAGTTAAGTATGTCACTTAAAATTGAATCATTAGGAGGATAAATTGTAGTAATTTAAATATCATGAAAATATTTCGTCTCTCCATTGTCAATTTTAAACAATTGATATTTAATGTAATGCAACATAATTGCAACTGAATATATCTAAGCGTCTAAAAAGCATTATATAGAATAGTTTTATTAACCTAATACAACCGACAAAAATATTAATTATATTTTAATTATATTCTGTGTAGATACGAATACTTTAGTGACTCACTGTATGTACAAAGGAACGTAAAAGGAAGAGTAAAAGAAAGATAAAAAAAAATCAATTAGAAGGAGAGTCAAAGTAAGAATGAATGAGTGAGAGAGAAAGTATGTTTCTATTTATGTATTGCATTTCGTTCAAATTTCAACTAAAATACTATTACACTCTCTCTCTCTCTCTCTCTCTCTCTTGATTCCACATCGTTAAATCTTTGCACGACTCGTTACTTCTTCTAGGCAAAGGTATCGCAGTCTCTTGAAACCCTTTGACCCAAAAGTGAAATTAGTAATGGAAAACGATCTGTGTAAGAATTTCGATGATTTTCACTTCGTCTTTTCCTTCTTATGGGACGACAGGGGAAAGCGAAAGGTATACCCATGAGAAATACTATCCTAAGGGATTCCTCCCTTCGGGGGATTAGAAATTTGCTGTTGGAAATACGGCGAGAGAAAGATGCAGTTTCGTTCGCATGTCGTTGAAGGATACGATTCGTTCGTACGATAGTTTCGATAAAAGCTGACAAGCTTTCAACGAAATATGTCCGAAAGTAGTGGAACACCCAAAGTCGTCGATGGTTTGAACTCCCAGTTCGATTCAGCTTACTCTTATGGTATGAGTAGAGTTAGTATAGTATCTATTACTATATATATAGTGTATCCAATAGGGGAACGACACCGTTATAAGCTTTGCTTTCATGATATTCGATAAACACCGTCAAAGGAAAACCTTCTCCGTCGGACATTCGATGAGCTTTCGACTCTGTTCATCGTTTCTCTCCTTTAAAGTCTACTATCGATCGGATAAACCACCTATCGCTCGTTGAATTTTCTCCATTTCTGCTTTTTTTTTTGCTTTCTTTTTTTTCTTCTTCTCCTTTTCTTCCTTTTTTTTTTTCTCTCATTCGTTCTCTCTTTTCCCTACGATCGTAGATATCTATTTCTTCTGTACCGTTAAAACGTCATCCTCCGTGAAAGCAAATATAATAACTTTGGGGAACCATCGAAAGCTACAGCTTCACTCGAAGAGCTCAAACTTATCCGATGTGAGAGAGTGCATACTCGTAGAATATTTATTTCAAGTATTAGCATACTATACCTATATATCTCTATCTATTTATTTATTTATTAACTATATGTTAAAAGTATCATTTTAATCTGACTAAACTCGATAACTTTTGTTGTTACCTTTTTAAATTATCATTTTCAACGATGAAAAAACATTCGGATTAGCTATCAACTTTTAAAGCTCAAATAATAATCTCAATCTTAAGAATAAGTTTTACACCAATCCCAGACGTATATTCTCATGTAAACTTAAAGAAATCCTCATCGTTGTAATAATTATTCATGACGAAAGAATACGAGAAGATAAAATTGTAAGTATAGGTTAAAAATATAATTGGTTAATCAACCAATAAAATTACGAGAAAAGGTACGATAAACAAAAAACAAAAAAATGAAAGAAACGTAGGAAAAGTAAATGTTTAATCTTTCTCAGAAACTTGAAGTAAGATTTCTCTTTTAGTGACTAACTTGAAAGAGTAGAATGACTTACAAACCAAAAAGTAGTAGACTAGTTTCTAAGAAGAAGTAGATAGAGCAAATCTCTCAACTCGAAGTAGTTACTTTTTAAAGAGGAAAAGCCAAAAGATTCGAGTTCTGTAACAGGCACCTCCTTGATTTTACGAAAATCACTGTGAGAGACAGAGATAGGAAAGAGAGTTAACTAAACGGAGTAGCAAGTTTTACGATAGTAGAAAAGGAAGATACCGTGGGTACCTTTTGCTGAGAGAAGGGATAACGTTGGTTGGTTTTGGTTGTGGATGGAAGAAAGAGGGGGTGGCGGTGGGGAGGGAGGGGGGAGGGGAGCTGGGAAGGATGACCCTCCTTAAATTGGAACCGATTCACCGAGGTCAGCGATGGCCAAGACTTTTCTATTTATCGTACAACTTCTTCACGCTCGTTCTTCTTCTTCTTATCCTTCTCTCTCTCTCTCTCTCTCTCTCTCTAACATCAAGCTACGAGAAAGTCTACCAGTTTAACGGAGCATGCCGAGGAGAAGCTTAATCGTAAATACCCTAGCGAGCCAAAGGAGCCGGATATAATTTCAAACGTGAATCCTCGCATCCGTGCTGTCACGTTCTTCGGAATTCCCTTTCCTTCTCTTCCTTTCTCTGTCTGTCTCTCTCTCTCTCTCTCTCTCTCTCTCTTTTTATCTTTATCGTACTCTTACGAAAGAAAGAATTTTCTCCTTCATAAGATATCCTATACTGAACGTACTTTGTTTAACTTTTTATCTTATTTCTCTGTTATTTGTGTAATATTACTCGATACACATAAATTTATTTTTTTGAATATAATTCGAATATATTTTGAATATAATTTGTTACTTCGAAATAAAATCATAGTTAAATATATATATATCAATGAGATATAAAGGTATAAAATATTTAGGTAGAGAAGTGATTAGAAAAATTGATCTGAACGATATAATACTTTACAGATAAAAATAATTTGAATTTTTGAATTGACCAAAGAGAATTTTTAAGAATACCACCCTGTATTCTATTATGTCGTACTTTAAATGTAATACATACAATCAGAAATTTACAGAGATATATATTATTCAATTAATTATATACATATATTGACAAATGTTGAAAAAATGTTTCGATGTGAAAATTTTGTTTCCCCTCCTTTTTTTTTTTTCAAGATAAATACAAAATATCAGCCACCGTATCAGAAAGAAATTATCCAACGATTTAATATTTCATCAATAAACATTGTCATATAAGTTTTGGTATATGTAGAAAAAAAAATTAAGAAAGAAAGAAAGAAGGAAAGAAGGTAAAAAAAATCGAAAGATTATTGGCGAAAGCGAGAGCTTTGAACGCAAACGTTAACTACCTCTTTGTTCGTTGGGGTGGCACCGACCTGCACGCTTTTCTGGGGGTAGAATCCGGGTAATGAAAGTGGTGGGGCGTGTGCAATTTGCACGCCGCGGAATTAAGTCCAAGTTTTTCCCCTTTACGGTCGCTCTTTATGTCCCTTTTATACCGTTTTAACGTTGCTCGACCATTCTCTTTCTCACTCTCACTATCACTCTCATTCTCATTCTCATTTTCTCTCTCTCTCTCTCTCACACACATGAGTCACTCACTCATTCATTTTCACACGAACACACCTACCATTTCTCTCTTGTATATCTCTATCGTTCCTTTCACTACGATTCAGGATATACTATCGGCTGTAAACACGCGAAAATGAATACTAAATTTGACGTGTATATATATATGTAGATATATCTTTATATATGAACAATGAAAAATATTAGACAATAAATTTTCGAATACTTTAGTTCGTGAATACTTATTGCTACATTCAATTAATATCTAAACTCTTTTTCCTATTATATTATTATTATTGGAATAAATTTGTTGTGGAAACATTAGAAATGTATTTAAAAATATATTATG